AATTAATATTGGAAGCTTAAATATTGCACAGATCTGTCTTTTGTCTGCAGGCAGATCACGTTCGAATCGTATAGCCCCATATAACGGCATCTCCCGATGTTCGATATTTTGATGATTGTAGCCACATTTTTTAATGGAATTGTCTGAAATTCCACACCAAGAGTTCCTTCTGAGTACTTTACCGCCTGTAAGAGAATTGTCTATAAAATTCCACGATATCGTATATCCTCCATATAACAGTACCTTCCGATATTCGGTATTTTGATGATTTTAGCAACATCAAAATACCGGAATTGTTTCAAATTTCGTATTTGAACTTCGGAACTATACCTACAGCCGCCTATGTCTTCGTATATTCCCCACAACGATTTTTCCTGGTCGAATTCAAATTTTTCGATGGAAGTTTTTTGAAATTTTTCAATTTTCGATTTTTCCTGATCAAATTCATTTTTTCGACGGTTTTTTTTTGAAAATTTTCAAGTTCCTCCTCCAAATTGGTGAAGGGTCCAAATCCCAAGAATTCAACTCTCCATACTCACAGCATCGTGTAGGCTAGATAGGAAATACCTCTTCCTTCCCCTTCATGTGGCAAAATATGTTTTCAAAAAAATTGAAGAAATCTGAAATAAGATTTCTTTAGATTCGAATGCAAAGGCGAAAGGAGTTTTGCTCTTCAAAACTCTCTTTAAAAATCTATTTGTCAATATGACATTTTTTCAAAATAATTGAAGGATTTTTGAAAATTATATGACGGATGAGAGGATGTCAATCCCATATCGATATCATTTTTTTTTATTTTAACTGAGTTTCAGGATGTCAAAGGACAGACAATGAGGTTCTCAAAAATCGTTTAGAAACTTGACAACCTATATTTCAAAAATAAATAAAATAATGGCAAAAAATAGAAAAAAAAAATTAAGCTATAAAATCCATCATAGTTTCTAAATTCTAAGCAGTATTTTAGGTAAGTTTTATATTCGGAAATCTAAAAGACGGCAGGAGTTTATTTCAAAATATGGAACAATAAACAACAAAATTGAAATATTGGAAGTATATTCTATGAAATAAAATGAAATCATGTTTTCTAAATTCTACGCAGGATTTTAGGCAAGTTTTATATTCGGAAATCTCAAAGGCGGGGCAGGCGTTTATTTCAAAATATGGAACAATAAATCACAAATTTGAAATATTGAATTTATCTTCTAAAAAAAAATGCTGGATTTTTCTTATGTAGGCCTTTTTTGATTTATGACTTGGATGTGGTCCTTCGAGGTCACTTGAGATTATGGTTTATAGCCCAGATATGGTCCTTCAAGTCAAAATTTTTATTTTTTTCTGAATTTTGCTACCATGCTGCTGAATTTTAAATATTTTCGCTCCATTTTCGATACGACCATCGCCCTTTCGGCTCCATGAATGTATATAAATAAATAAGTCAGCAAAAATAAATTTTAAATTTTTTACCAAAAAAATTGAAAATTAATAATTGTCTCTTCTCGACGGTACGGCCATCAACATATCAGTTTTCAAAATTTCCATGATTTTTTGTTTTTTGGTTTCTACATTTCGGTTGGTTGGTTTGCCAAATAATTTATTACTGCAATTGTGGTGGCATTATCAAGCTAGCCTCCTCCTTCCTTCCCCGCTGCCCTCACTTGATTTTTTTATTCGCAAATCCCAATGGAAAAAGCAATAAAGGTAGTTGAGAATTAAATAGTCTCCGGAAACCAGTTTTGAATTGTTAGACATTTCTAATTTTCGTATTTTTTTGGCAATTGCTTTTGTTTTTTGTTCTCTGCAACATCTTTTGCGTTGTTGCGCTGCCGTTGTTAGAACTCGTTCCTCTTCGTCTTTGTTGTTGCTGTTGTTGTTTTATGATATTTTATTTAAAATTTATGATGCAATTTCTTAATTAAAGTTGGTTGTGTGTGTGATTGTACCAAAAATAGAAAATTTGAAATGCTCCGAGTTGGAGATGTTGGCAATAACAATGGCCTTGGCTTTCAAACGTTTCTTGAACCCGACAAATAGAGACAAGCACGCAAGCGCACAAATTTGCACAAATTTTCTCTCTTCGTTAATTAGTTGTGCAGCAGCCAACAACAATATTGTGTGTGAATCAGAGAAGAAGTTTGATAACTATTTTGCAAAGGCCGTAAAATTGTCCTTAAGATTTTTGTAAAGATTTTTTAGCTCTGGCTTCCCTTTGAATGCAATTTCTTAGAATTGACTTGCCATGGCTTTCCTTAGATTGCAATTTCTTGTAGGCTCTCACTCAACTTTGATAGAAAAATATCCTGTCATACCGATTTATGAAGAGACCACTCTTTTCAAATCTAGATTTAATTGCCTGGATATTTAAGGCTGACTCAATTCCAGTGGATGGAAAGAATGCTGTTGAATAGCAGGAGTTTGAAACAAATAATTTAGGATAGAAATACTATCCAAGCTCACGAAATGAGACTACATTTTTCGTTAAGAATTCTCGGTATACAAAGGGTACGCCCAAAACCTTTTTGAAAATCGAGTGTAACTTCAGCTGAGGTGGGACGTAGCGCCGTACTGTTTCAAACCAAATGTTGCCAATATCCTCCTTGTCAGTTTTTGTCAACATGGACCGATAACGTAATGGCAACTCCTTGTTCATTTTCGATGAAAAATGGCCAGATTATATGCCTCTGGACAAAAATCCGCACAAGGACTCAGTGACTTGTTTTGGATGCACCGGCTTTTCCATGGTCCATGCTCTGTTCCAGTGAATGGAAAGTGTTGCCAATATTCTCCTCGTCAATTTTTATTAACATGGACCGATGACGTAATGGCCATTCGTTCAGCAAAATGGCCCAACTTTTCAATGTATGTGTGGGTCTTGTCCATGCTCTGTTCCAGTGGATGGAAAGTTGCAGAAAATGTAAGATTTAGCATTGATAAGATCGCCAGACCCCACGATGCGAAGTTTTATATAATTGAATGCCCTTTGTGAGTTCAAAAAATGAGGTGTTTCCAAAAGATTCTGAAAATGGACGTGGGTATTTTTTTGAAGTAGATTAAAGGGATATATATCAGAAGTGTGCATACTCTTGTCCGGTCCTGCTCTACAATCCTTTATTCTAGTTCAACAAATACTCAAGTACATTTTCAGAATCTTTTAGAAATACCTCACTTTGGCAACTTAGCGATTTTCATAAACGTATGTTTAATGATAACTTCATGGCATACTTTTAGGCTGCTTGATAAAATGCGATTGGATTACTAGGATAAGGGATCTTAAAGCAAATAAAATACAAAGTAAATAGAATTTATTAAAAAAAATTAAATATTTTCAAAAATATAAAAAATCTAAGGAATAATTGCATAAATAAAAATAAATAAAAATGTAATTAAAAACATAACTTCAAGAAATATAATTATTTAATTTTTTTTTGTTTTCAAATAACTTTAAAACTATATATATGAAAGAATATTTAAAAGAAACAAATTTTTAATTTTTTATAAAAAATGGGTATATTCATGTTATAATTATTTATTTTTTAAATACTTTTAGAATTATTTTTAAAAGAATATTTAAAACAAATACATTTTTAAAAACACATTTTTTATATAAAATTTAAAAATATAATTTCTAAATTTTATAAAAAACAATATTTGTATAAATAATCTTTTAAAAATATATAAAAAATATTAAAAAAAAATATATAAAAATAAATTTTAAATAATTTTTAAATTATTCTTTGTTAAATATTAAAAACCTAGGTATTCCCTGCCTTACCCCCTGGTAAACATTACCATCGTTCTCCACTAATAAACAAACGTTGTTTTTATAAAAACAACAATAATGGGATTTTGCCTGACGATTTTTGCAACAACAAAATACTATGGTATCCCAAACAAGCAAGCCAAACACTGTTCTATTAAAAATATTTAAAAAAAAAAAAATTTTTTTCGTTATATTTTGTATTTGTATATGTTTATAATTATTTAATTTCTTTAATATATTTTTAGAAATTATTTTTTAATATATTTTTAAAAAAATATATTTTCTATAAAATTTAAAAAAAAATTAAAAAACTATTTTTAATCAAAAAAAAAAAAATAAATAAAATATAATTTCAGAAAAAAAATAATAATTTTTTCAAAAATATTTTTTTTTATTAATAACTTAAAAAATAATCTATTTATTTATATATAAAAAATATTTCTTTTTAATGTATTAATCATTAATTTTTGAAAATATATTAAAAAATAATTATTTAAACATATTCTATTTAAATATTTGGAAAAATAATAAATGTTAAATATATATTTTTTAATAAAATATTAATATTCAATATTTTTATTACAAAAATGTATTTTTAACAATTATTATTTTTCCAAAATTTAAAAAAAATAAATAATTATTTTTTTTATATATCTTGTAAAAATTAATTGTTAATGCATTAAAAAAAAATTTTTTATTATTAATTTAAAAAAAATAGTTTTTTAAGTTATTAATAACAAATTATGGTTTGTAAAAATGTTATACAAATTTGTATTAATTTAATATCTTTTAAATTATTTATAAAAAATATTGAATTTATAAAAAAAAATAATGCATTAAAAATTAATTTTTAAAAATATGTTAAAAAATAATTATTTAAAAATGTTTTTTTTAAATATTTGGAAAAAAATAAATATATTTATTTTCTAAAATATTGTTTGTGAAAATATATAATAATAATTTTGTAAAATATACAATTTTTAAAATATAAATTTATCCTAAAATGTATTTCTCGAAGAATAAACCAATTGAAATAAATTTTAGAAAAAGGCAATTTCTAAATATTGAAAATTGTTTTAAACTATTTGCCAAGTTATTATGAATGTTATTTAAATTTTCTTTTAATTTTTTTTTCCAATTATTTAAAATATGTTTTATTAAAACGATAAATCAATGAAAACCCAAAAAATATTTAATTATGTAAAGAAACAAAAATTGAAAATAATTTACTTTAAAGCTGTTTTATCTGATCCCTTGTCATAAAATCCAAAAACTTTTATGGAAAATATAGTTAAAATATGAAAATTTATTATTGAAAATAAAATATTGAAAAAATATGCAATTTTAAAATGTATGAAAATAATATGCAAATATGGTTATTTGTTTTAAGGGACCATATACACATACATACATATAATATAATACAATACATATGTGTGTATTGCGCATGATTTTGCCCAAGGCCTAAGAAAAAAAGATAAGAATATATATCTATGCCCCACAACAACCCAGACATATAAAACAAATGACCTTGACCCAGTTTATCTGTGGGCCTCTGCTGCCTTTTTGTTTTTTGTTGGTGTTGGTTGTATGTATGCTGTGGTGATTATGATGCTGTTGGTGCTGCTGATGTCTGCTGAAGATGCTGAGAAATTGGTGGCGGCGATATGGTTGACGATGACGTTTGTTGTTGCTGATGCTGTTGCTGCTGCTGCTGCTGTCTCTCTCCCTTGTCTTTTGTAAAAAGGTATGGTTGGCAGATTTTTTTCCTCTTTGAAACTTGATTTTATAAAATTTTCAGAAATCCGTTTTTTTAAACTTTTTTACGACACAAAAGAAGATACATTTTCTGTTTATATAGACACTCATACACACACACACACACACATCCAAACATATACTGTGCATGAGAAAATTTTGAAGTGTTATTTATTTCTTTTTTTTTTTGCCAAGAAGTTGGAATCCAGGGCCATAGGGGTGGTGATTTCTAGTTTCTTTTCCCTTTTTTTTTTAAGAAATTAATTTATTCCATTCTTTGGTTCTTTCCTGTGGCTTTTTTTGGAGTATTTCTCTTCCCAGGGATTATTTCCTATCACCATTCCTTTTGTATATTTTATTTATATTTTTTTCCATTTCCCCACCCCACTTCCTCCACTCTGGGTTTGTGCTGTATTTCGGTATTTGTGTAGTGTTTAATATTTGAAATGAAAAATATTTTCTACTTCTGATGGTGGTGCTCTGTGGTTGGTTGGTTGCGTTGCATTGCTGTTTTTTTTTTGGGTTCCTTCATTTCTTTGTAATTACAATCTTGAAACCGAAAATCTCCCTATTTTTTTTTTCATTACAATTCCCCCCCTCCACACCCCCAAAAAAATGTTTTTGTTGCTTGTATTATGACAAAAAAAAATTGTCAATTGAAATTCTCAAGGAAAATAGTTTTAGAATTACACCAAAAAAAAAAAATTGATAATTCCCAATTGAAAGAAAAACGAAAAATTGTTTTTATTTTCTCTTTTTCTCTTCTCTATCTCTGTCTATTCTGCAGAAGAATCTCAAGATGAAATTGATCAAAAACGTCTTGTTCTTCTACAAATGTCGCAGTCAATGCAAGCACCACCACCGTCACAACAAACCCAAGCACCAGCAATGCAACTAGTTTCTTCCCAACCACTACCATCATCCTCATCATCATTGTCATCAGTTGCAGTAGCAACAACAACTTCCACACAGCCATCAATACCAATTATCCGCATTGAAAAGCTTTCTAGAATTTCCCCTGGATCCGTTTCCACAAACCCTGTCAGCGATACGATTACCTCCCAGCGTTTGAAAAGCAAACGGCGACCAACCTCCAATAGAACAGCGGCCTTGCGGATTTCAAATGTCGTCGGCCAGTTTAGGCGTAGTAGTAGTAGAAAGCGCAGGTAAACCGAATTTAGATTTTCATACTTCTACTTCTTCTTCTCCTTCTCCTACTTCCTTTTATTTCTTTCATAAATTACCGCCACTCCATTGTCACATCCTGCAACCGCTCCCCTTCTTTGTCTAACCAATTTCCTTACTCACTTTGTTTCTTTGCTAATATTTCCATTCAAAATGCTTTGCTTGTTTTCAAGGGGGGTTTCAAATAGATTCCTTCCATTTTTTTTGTTGTGACGCTCTGTCTCTCACTCACTTAGTTGTTGTTGTTGTTGTATATTCCCCACAGACCAACAACCAAGTTTCTCGAAAGCAAAGTTGAAGAGGCCGTTGTTGTATCTCCTTCACCCCAGGCCATTATTGATTTAGACGAAGTTGCAGCAGCAGCAGCAGCATCGCCATCAGCACCACCAACATTAGCATCCAGCAGCAGCAGCGCCGGCGGCGACACTTTCACCACAAATCTCAGCCACATCAACATCACCAACAGTTTCTCCTCCACCTCCTCTGCCACGCCATACAACTGTCTAAACTGTGGCCGCAAATATCAGGCCGAATCTACGCTAAAACGCCACATGCGCAGCGAATGCAATCAGCCGAAAAAATTCATTTGCCGAATTTGCAATCGTGGCTTCCATCACAATTTCAAATTGGCCGATCATTATCGTCGCCTGCACAAAAATCTCTGGAAAAATCACTCCTTTTAATTTCCCTCCTCCCAGTTACCTATTTTTTTGGTTGTAAATGTGTTTATCATTCCCACTATCATCAATTCCCGCCCCCCATCTCTCCCTAAAACAATTAATGTAAGAAAATCAACTTTTTTCCTTGGAATATTTTATTTGAAAAAAAAAAAAAAATCGAAAAAAATTATTGAAATAAAAATAATATGTGTGTATTGCATCAAGTTTTAAAAACTTCAAAAAAAGGAGATTTCTTTTATTGTATAATACTGGATTTGTGGACTGGAAGTTTAGTTTTTTTCTTTCAGGAAATGAGAACTGAGTTGGGAATTTAATTATTTCAATAGTATTTTTTTTTTAAATTGATGAAATTTTGATTTTTTTTTGAATTTTTTGAGGTCTTTAGTCCTTCGAGACAAGATATACAGAGATTGGTCCTTCGAGGCAAGTTTAGAACAGAAATTGTGCCTTCAAGGTAACATTTTTTTTTAAATTATTGATCAATCTAAACAAATTATTTAATAAATATGCCTTTGAATTTATGGTTTTTGGAAATCTGGAATTTTATGGCTCTCTTCTGGTCCTTCGAGATGAAATTTTGTACAGAAATTGGTCTTTCGAGCCAAGATTCTCTCTTTCGAAGAGAAGATTTTTGTGAAATATATTCAAAGCTTTTCTTTATGGATTTCGAGGCATTTGGCACTGGACTGGAAGTTTGTTTTTTTTTATAGAAAATGAGAATCGAGTATTTTTTGGAATTGATGAAATGATTACAAAATACAGAAAAAAATTAGGTTCTTAGTTCTTTGAGACGAGATATTAATACGGAAATTGGTGGCCTTTCGAGGCAAGATTTAGAAGTTTAATAAGGCAAGTTTTTTTTATGACTTTAAGGCTTTCGGAAATCTGAAATTTTAAGGCTCTTTGGTCCTTCAAGGTGAAATTTTGTACAGAAATAGGTCTTTCGCGCCAAGATTTGGAACTGAAATTATTCCTTCGGGGAGAAGATTTTTAAGCGGTATTCATAAATAACATAAATTTTGTTATTTTATGATTTATAGGTTTTTGAAAATCTGATATTTTTGAGGTTTTTTGTCCTTCGAGACAAAATTTTAAGGAGAAATTGGTCCTTTAAGGCATGATTTTGAAGATAAATTTGAAAAACTTTATTAATGCTTTAAATAAATATTTTCTAATATTTATATTTTGTACTTCGAGACAAGATTTTTAAACGAATTTGTTTATATTTTGGGAATCTGATATGGTTTTGAGGTCCATTGGTTCTTCGAGGCAAGATTTTCAACCGAATTTGTTCCTCTGAGCCAAGTCGTTGGAAAAAAAACGCATGAAAATTATTTCAATTTCTTTTTTGAGGCTTTAGGCGATGAAACACTTTTGAGGTTGCTGGTCTTCGATCTGAAATTTTGGCAGAAATTGGTCCTTCGAGAAAGTATTTTTTTAGCAAGAAATAGTCCCTTCGAGGTAAAAAATTTCTAAGATTCCGGAGCTTTTGGAAATCTGACATCGTCGAAGCGTCGCCTGGTCCTTCGAGACAAGATTTTGAACAAAAACTATTTCTTTGAGAAATAATTTGAGAAGATGTTAATGAATGCCATAAAAATTGTTTTAAAGCATTTTTTACATCTCGAAGCTCCTCGGAATATCACATTGTTGAGGTGTCTGGTCCTTGAAGCTCAGCATTAGAACAAAAATTGGTCCTTCGCGTCCAGATTCTGGTATGATATAGACCCTTCTATATTCGATTGTTTGGAATAAAAATTTTAAACAGACTAACAATTAACAAATTTTCCAAATATTACTTTTATGATTTTTGCTACTTGAAGATTTGGTGTTGTTAAGGATTTTGGTCCTTTTAGGGAAAATATAGAGGAGAGAAAGTGGTACCTCAAGCCACAGTTTAACGCAGAAATTTATTCGTTTTTTAAATTCATTTAATTGCTGCAAATTGTGTGGATCCGAATACGATTGAAATAGCTAACACATTTTTTTGGAATTTTGAGCCAAATTTTTTGAATAAAAATTGGAAATATACCTAAAATACCAGTGGTATATATTCACCGCTTGCCATTAGGACTTGCAACAGTATAATATACTAACGAACTCTTTGTGAAATTCAATGATCCTGGAAACAATATTTTCACCTTCCATTGTCAGAGGACATATTTTAAAAGAATTGATTTCTAGTCAATGTTTCAAGGTAGATATTAACTCTAAGCCATATTCCACGGAAGTATTTTTCATATTCTAAATACTCCTAAATGATACGGTTGAAATCGTGTTCAGGTTGAGAATTAACTAAAAGAATTTGGAGATAAATGCATTTTTAAGAAATGCTCTCAAATGCTGAAGTAAACATTTGGTCCTTCGAGCTTATAGAAATTACCAAATAGAATCTCCAAATTAAAAATTATCTTTATAGATATATATAGAAAATGAAGTACTAAATATAGAAAAAAGGTTTCCCCAAGGCTCTTTCCTTAAATTCGATTTTTATGAAAATTAAAAAAAAATGGTCCTTCGACTTGAGGTTCGAGAAAATATTATATAATTAAAAATTATATACAAACAAAAAAAAAAAAAAAAATATATATATATATAGTGACTAATAGATTTAAAGGAGAATTATGTGAGGGGAATAAACCAAAATACCGAAAAAAAACTTCAGCAGAAAATTTGCTCCTTTGAGCTGACTTGAAGTTTTTTAATTGAAATGTTATTCGAAATAGAGAAATGGATGGATTTTATTTTTAACAAATCAGGCCTAGTTTATGATACAGAAATTTTCAATAAAAAATAACAACCCAAAAATAGATCCTTAAAAATATTTTTTTTAAATAACCCAATAATTTGGTCCTTCGACATCGGAAATATTCACTCAAATGGTGCCCAATACTTAACCCAAGTATTTTTTCAAAGTATCATATTTTATTTAAGGAACACTTAAAAAAATTGGTCCTTTGAACCTGACATGACCGATTTTTTTTTATAGTCTTTCTTGGCACTTCAAATACTCCCAAAAATTTTTTTTAACAGATCAGGCAAAGCAGCTTTTGATACGGACATTTTAATTAAAAAATAAAAACAAAAATTTTTCTTTAAAAAAATATTTTTTTTAAATAACTACAATAATTTATTTATTTCGACATGGGAAATATTTTCTCAAATCGGGCCCAATACTTATCTCAAGTATTTTTTAAGGTATCATATTTTATTTAAGGAACACTTAAAAAATTGGTCTGACCGATTTTTTAATATGCTTCGTTTACTTCTGCACTTCAAATAATGCCAAAATATTTTTTTTTAACAGATTAGGCATAGTTTTTGATACCGCAATTTTAATAAAAAAAACTGTTATTAAAAAAATATTTTTTTTAAATAACCACAATATTATGACCCTTCGACATGGGAAATATTTTCTCAAATGGTGCCCAAAATGTGTCCCAAGTATTTTTTCAAATTATCATATTTTATTTAATGAACACTTAAAACAATTGGTCCTTCGAACCAGGTATGACCGATTTTTTAATCTTTGACGTTTACTTCTGCCCACCAAATAATGCCAAAATATTTTTTTTTTAAACAGATTAGCCAAGTTTTTTTTACCGAAATTTTAATAAAAAAATAAAAACGGATCTTTAGATATGAATAATAACCGCAACAATTTGGTCCTTCGACATCGGAAATATTTTACTCAAATGGGGCCCAATACTTAACTCAAGTATTTTTTTTTTAAAGTATCATCTTTTATTGCTCTTTCGACCAAGCAATTTGAAAACATTGGATAAAAAAGATTAAAAGTTAACTTCTGAAATAATGTTTCCTTCCTTTTGGAAATTTGTAATTTAATTATATTATGTGTGTATATGTATGTATGTGCTTGTCAGGGAAATCAGGTATTATATACAGTCTGCAAGGGGTATAGCGCTTTCGATTTTATATTTTTCTTTTAAATGATTTTTTCTCAAAAAATTAATACTCCAATAGGTTATTAAAATTACACTACAAAAACGAAAAAAAAAAAAAACAATTTATTGTCCCAGCAACCAAAATATATTTTTTTAAATAATTTATTTTTCAACACAGACAACACTTGAAAGCAAAAAACAAAAAGAAAAAAAATCACAAAAATTGATATGGCCTGCTGCAATGTTTTTTGTGTTAAAATTTTAATTAATTTTTTTTTGATCATGTTTTATATGCTCCTCCAACAAACAGCAACAACAACCACAACACACAACAAATTATTTAATTAATATATATATATGATTTTTTTTATTAAATTTATTATTACAAATAATTGCCTTGCTTGTGTTCAACTTCCTTAAAAATCAACTACAACCAAAAAAAAATGTTTTTTTTTTTCATAATTTTTAACCAACCAACTTACCACTACTTAAAAATCAAACTCAACTCAACAAAAAAAAAACTGCTACTCACCACCACCACACCACCAAACAGCCAAATGAAAATTAAAATTGAACTAAAAAAAAATTTAACCAAAACCCCCCAAACCCCCTCAAACTCAAAATGAATGCTTGTTGTTCTCTTTTTTTCTGATTCGTAACCAACCTCTCCAAATAAAAATATTAACTATTGGCATGCCAAATAATAATCAAATAATCAACAACACTGCTCACAACCAACAAAAACACTAAATTCCAGATTTAATTAATATTTTTTTTTATAAAAAGTTCAATTTTTATTAAAAAAAATATTTTTTTATTTTTATTAAAAAAAATAGTTATTTATTTTTATTAAAAAAAATATTTATTTTTATTAAAAAAAAAATTTCTTTTGGTCCGAAAAGTTTTGTTGAAAAGTTATTTTCAAATAAAAGTTAACCCCCCTCTTTAAAAGAAAAAAAAAAAAATGAAAATTGTTCTAAAAACTGAAACTGAAAATGTTTATCAAAAGAATCATAAAACAACAACAATTTTCAGGCTTTGTGTCCAACAACACCACCCCAGTATCCCATCATCAGCATCATCACCAACGACACCACCACCACCACCTTGAGCAGCAGCAACAATATCATCAGTATCACCACCACCAACAACAACAGCAACAGTTACACCAACAATTACAACAACACCTTAAGAATCGGTCGTCTTCGTTGTGTGCCTCATCTAACCATCTAACGACG